GGTTTGAAAGTTTGCCCCTTCCAAAACACATGTCAAAATTCAATTGCCATTGTAACACTATTAGGAGGTGGGACCTTTGAGAGGTGATTAGGCTATGAGGGCTCTACCCTCGTGGATGGAATTGGTACAGTTTGGCCCTCTCTCACCCTCTTTGCCCTTCTACTCTTCTCCCATGTGAGGAACAGTTTTCCTCCCCTCTGAAGCATGAAGCATGCAAAGTGTTTGTCTTGGAATCAGAAATGCCAAATCTGCTGGCACCTTGGACTTTCCAGCCTCCTGAATCATAAAAAAATAAATTTCTATTATTTATAAATTACCCAGTCTCATGTGTTCTGTTACAGAATCACAAATGGACTAATAGAAAGGTTTTTGATGCATTTATCTTGATTTACCAATAGCACAATCATTGAAAGGCCAAAAGTTCCACCCACTGCCATCCTACTTGAAAAAAAAAGATTAAAATGTGAGTTTTAAAAGTAAAACTTCTTCCACCTTGAGAGGCTTGTGTGGCTAAAAAGCCCATGTAATGAGGCTCTTTCTGTTTTGAAACAAAACTTTACTGGAAACAGAAGACTTCTCCAATAATGTAACACAAGCCCCAGTTCTAATCCCCATTGGAGTGTAGCCTTGTGGTAAACCACAACAGATCAGAGTCCTGCATGCCCTAGAGCTGGACCACACAGGCCAAGCAAAGGCTGCCTCCTTCCCGTGCACTGCATTAATCTCCAAATAATAGTACCAAACACTTTTTCAGCTCTTACGTTTCCAGAGCTGTTCTAACCACTTACATGTATGCCTTCTTATTTAACCATCACAAAAACCTATTGAGGCAGATAATATCCCATTTTATAGACAATGCTATTACATGTTCATCCTCAGAATTTCCAGCTTGGGTAGAAGTTAACATTAATCACTCATGCATGCCTCTTTCCTTCCTAGTTCTAACCAAGAGTATGAATACAATGAAGCAGACAGGGATCCGAATATTCACTTTCTTTATAGAGGCCTAATGACCTCAAATTACAGGGTCCCTGAAAGTACCTGATTAGAGAAAATAATTTGAACTTGAAGCCAAAACAAACAAGGCTTCCTATTACATCCCACCAAATCTGAACCTGAGAACCAGGCGTGCACTGGATCTGCGGGGAAGACTCTTCATACACATCTCCAACCATCAGTGGTGTGATGGATTGGGACCTGTCACAAAGAGCCAGTCAACAGAAGAGTGTAGAAAGCACAGTAGAGAAACGGCTTCTAGAAGGCAGACACCGAGCCAGGTCTGTTTACTCCACAGCCCACTATCTCTTTCATAATCTGCCTAGGAGAGAGAGAATCCTATTTCTTGCTTTTAAACATAGCTTTCAAATATAACTGCCCACTGGAATCACTTGGAAAGGTTTTAAAAATTGCAATGACCTGACCATAGCCCAGGCCCACTAAATCAGATTCTCTGGAACGAAAACATTTAAGTTATCCAGGAAATTCCAATATGCAGCCTAGGCTAAGAGCCACCACTTTATAGGCTTGGCAACCCCAGCCCCTCATAATGCAGCCAGTCATAACTAGCAGTTTTTGAGTGCCTATACTAAGCAATTTGCATAATCCTCATCACAACTCTAAGAGACACATGATAATCACAGCATTTCACAGATGGGAAAAGCGGTGCTTGGAAAAAGGCTGAGAGACAAGAGACAGACCTGGGATTACAAAGTTCGTATTCTGTCTCCCAAGCTAAATACTTAACCACCATATGCCATGCTGCTCCTGTGGATGCCCTGATTCCAGCAATCTCTCCAACCAGATAATACATTCTCCTTTTACATAGAGAAGCAAATAAGGCTTAGAGATACTACAAGAGTTGACTCCAGTATTCCCTTCTAAAAGAAAGCATAAACTCCTTCCATGGAAGTTAAGCAGGAAGAATAAAGCTTTCCAAAAACTAACATTTGTAGAGACCTGGGAAATGTGTGGCAGGGTGTTAAAAGATCGATAATTAGGGATGCTTAGAATTATAAAGCAGTTGAAGTCATACAGCACAATTTTTTATAGAATCAACTTGGTAGTTCTGAACAGCCATCCTTGATATCTGAAGATTAAGAAAACTGGACAGCACAGTCTATGAAGATAGGGCTAAGGATTGTGAAGGAAGGTGTCATGGGAAATTGTGGGAGCAAGAGAACCAAAGATGCTTGCGAGCATACAATGACAATACAAGCTAAGGGCGGAAAAAAACGAACAAAAGGCTGGGAGGGGCTGAAAGGCTGCAGGACAGGTGAGGTAAAGCTCACATACTGAGACAACAACACTGGACCAGTAAAGATGACACATTACTTAGTAACTCAGCTATATTAAAAGGTGTACAGCAGAAAAAAAAAAAAAAAAACTCATTTCACATCTCTAAACCTTTGCAAATGTACAAATATAAATTGGATCTTGCTTTTATAAGTTTGCTGTATGTAAATGTTTATATGTCAAATAACGTATATTTGTATACATGTAATGCTAGTAATAGAAATTCTGGCACTGAAGAGAATGTAATGACTATATGGTAACTTCTTCTATAGAGCAAATAATAATTCTGTTATTCTTTTTACAATGGAACATTTTCACATTATGAATTGGCAGGATGATGGCATATAATTTGGCCCCAGGGAAAAGCCTATCTTATTACGATGGAGTATAAGAACACCTGATGAGCAATAGAAAAATAATTTAGATTTGTTTCCTTGTTTATTCCTCGCTTTTCAAGGTATGAATCATTATTCCCTTTGAGAAGCGTGCTGAAAGGAGGACAAAAGCCTCCACCCATCTATGCCAGGACACAGTTGCATTAAGCCTGTGAAATAACAATTTGCATCTTTAGAGCTGCACCCATTAACTGCTCTTTTAGCTGCTAGAGAATTCGAGAAAGTTTTGTAATCAGGCCGCGTGCAGTGGCTCACGCTTGTAATTCCAGCACTTTGGGAGGCCAAGGTGGGTGAGCCACTTGAAGTTAGGAGTTTGAGGCCAGTCTGGCCAACATGGTGAAACCCTGTCTCTACTAAAAATACAAAAGCTAGCGGGGTGTGGTGGCACACACCTGTAATCCCAGCTACTCCACAGACTGAGGCAGGAGAATCCCTTGAACCTGGGAGGTGGAGGTTGCAGTGAGCCAAGATTGGGCCACTGCCCTCCAACCTGGGGGACGGAGTGAGACTCCATATCACAAAAAAGAAAGTTTTGCAATCAGCAAAATTAGGTTAACACGTTTTCATTTTTGGTGAAACTTTACATTAAAATGACCTGATCTATGTATGTTACAGTCAATTGAACATGACACGGTCTATAGGTTTTAACTGTGCTAGTCTGCAATTTGGTGATGTTTCTGGAATGGAAAAAGAAACTAAATTGACGTGATTTGTGGTCATCTCATTCTTCTCAAATCATATGACTAAATGAGTTCACGTAGGAGTAATTGTCAACCCTATCCTTAATGCACATTACACTATTACAGCAGATAAAATTTTAACACATTCCCATTACATTATGAATTTGAAATCCTAGTGTAATACGATACAGACAGAAGGCACACTTAGTGTTATCTGAACAAATAAATTCTTCTGGAATTCCTTTTTGTTGTTGTACCAAATTCTAGTGTTTTATGGCTATACTTAATAAATTTTGAAAAGAGTCTTATGCTAAAAATCATAGAGGATATTTACCCACATCATTTAGTTAGGAGCTTTAGAATTAAGGTCTTAAAACACATTCTTAAATTGCCACAAAATTCATGCTGAGGCTGGGCGCGGTGGCTCATGCCTGTAATCCCAGCACTTTGGGATGCCAAGGTGGGCGGATCACCTGAGGTCGGGAGTTCAAGGCCAGCCTGACCAACATGGAGAAACCCCATCTCTACTAAAAATACAAAATTAGCTGGGCATGGTGGTGTATGCCTGTAATCCCAGCTACTCGGGAGGCTGAGGCAGGAGAATCACTTGAACCTGGGAGGCAGAGGTTGTGGTGAGCTGAGATCACACCACTGCACTCCAGTCTGGGCAACAACAGCCGAAACTCCGTCTCAAAAAAAAAAAAATTTCGTTCTGAAAAATCTGAAAATTAATTTTTTACTTCAGAGTTGCTTTGAAAGATTAAATTTAATAGGATCTGCTTTGCCAGATTTTATCTATTAGGTTGATCAAAAATGCTTGAATATGAGCAGTTTCATACAGTACAACCTGATTACAATCAGTTTCACATTAAATGAAACAATGCAGCCCTATATATTCCAAAGAAAAAAGTCTTTGCAGGAGAAAGATAACCTCAGCTACCCTGCAACATGCTAAAAATACCAACTACAACACATATGCAGCACCAGGTGTTACGGTGCTAGCTTCCCAGGTAACTCTGGGGAGGTAAGAGGCAGGGACATAGTTTAAAATAACTGCCCAACACAAAAATGTCACGCTGCCAAAAATTTTCTTATCCCATTCCCGAAGGTGTTTTGTTTGTTCACTTAGCTTTTCCCTTTTCCACCTTCCACAGAAGGGACTGAAGGGTAATGAATCTTCAAGAATTAAGATTAGATAGAAACCTGAGTAACCAGCCATTTTACAGGCAATAATTGGCTACTGAGTAATGCTGGCTTTGTTCTAAGTCAGAAGCTGACTTGGTTATTTACTATAGAACACAAACATCCACAACCACTAAATGACTTCACAGAAAACTAGCCACATTAAGTATGACATGTAGAGATAACAAAACTACTTTTGAGAACATAGTTTAAAATTCTGAAAAATAAAAGATAAAGATTTTCTTATTTCTAATTTCTTATTTCTAATAAGAAATTTCTTATTTCTAATAAATGTTCCCACATTTTCCAGAAGATAAAACAAGAGACCCAAACACAGGACATGACAGCCCTGTACAGCAAGATGCACTTTCCACAGTCAACCGGAGATTCCCTCTACTTCTTTATCCTAAAGTGTTGAGATTTAAATCAATTCAGACTCTACATACAATTCTTTGAGTCTCTTTTCATTTTCAATTTTATTTTTTAAAAAAGACATTGAGGTTATGGTAAGAAATTATGAAGTTACTTTTTTTTAATCTGTCAATTGCTACAGTAGTGGAATAAATAAATAAGATTTTTTAAAAGTTCAATGTTTACAGACATACTTATAAAAAAAAATGACTGAATTAGAAGACATTTAAATAATGTTGATACACACCAGGAAGGGATTTAGGCAAGGAAAGGCACATCATATTACCACAAGAAATAAAGACCATAGTTGGAGGTTAATCGACAGCCAAAACTTTAGATCTTGTGGTAGGTTTCCCAGCTCTGGAGGGGTCATTATGGTGAAATGTTCTTTATGGTACTGGGCTGGAACAAATAAATAGCAGTTGGGAATTTTACTTTGTAACTGTAATATAATGTTAAAAAGAAAGCACACTTTTCATAACCCTGGTATGTGAAGAGGAAATTAAAAAATCCAAAACAATTTGGTAGTACTGAAAATCCTATGGAGAGTTAAAAATAGTAATAGTAATATTAATCCTCGCCCAGCTGAATTGGAATTCTTGCAGTTACAAAGTTAAAATTTCAAGTAAACACCGTATTTTTCACTTTTTGTAGACAGACACAGTGCAGATACAAACAGCTGCCATATCTCACCTTGGCTGAAGCTATGTGTCAATGCTTAGGGAAAACGATCTTAGATAATTTCCCAATTTTACAGAGCTTAAATCTTTGAAAACAGCACTAACACTGCTGGCTGACTGGCTATCTACAACAGCAAAGTGAACATAAAGTTTTGACAAAGATGAGAGGTTTCCCCAAGAAACTAATACAGAGTTTTTAGTGGAACAGATACAGTTACTTTAGTTTTACTGAAAAGTCTAACAGACATTAGCACAACTTGTTTGGGGTCACATTCCTACTGCCAATTTTCTTTCATACATTTGTGTCAAGTCTTTATCCAGTTCTTTCTGTCTACGCCTAGATTAGTTTATTTGAAAGACGGCGTCACTTAAAGTAAACCACATACATTTTAGTGGTATTAAGTGTGTCTTTAGTGGTGAATGTGCATAAATAAAATAGATCTTCATAATAAAATGGTATATCCACAAATAAAATACAAATTAAAAACAATTGAGAGGTGGGGAAAATGTCAGTATTATTTTAAAAAAATACAAATGGCAATGGTAAAGCAGGCAGTTTCTTGCTCACGCCACGCGATAGGCCTTCATTAAGGTGTACTCCTTCCGGTTGGTGTGAGCAGCCCAGATGAAGAGCGCAGAGGCCATGAACTGCAAGGGAGCTGAGACACAAGCCAGGCAGAAGGACCATCCAAATTCACCGGATACACTGTCAGGGAGCTCTAGTTTCTGGTGGAGTAGTTCAATTCCAGCTACATAACAACTTACTGAGCCCAGTGTACACAGACCTTGGGGGAAAATTCAGAAAACAAAACAAAACATGGCTGGGTAAAAGCACAGTAAAGGGCTTTTCAGGCAATGAGACGGCGCAGTTAATACGTGAACATTTAAGATTTATAATTCTTTGGTCCCTAAAGAGACAGGAAGAAGCTAAAAGGTAACTATGATGACAAAACCTACCTGCAAGGAGATGGAGAATGCCCGTGGCAATGGTGGGATACAAGCTTCGGCAAATGCAAGCACAAAGTCCGATCAAAGCCCCAAAGCACATCAAACCTAAACTCACAAAAGGTAAAAGGAACTGGCAACGCCAAAGATCTGATTTTTAAAAAGAAAGAACAGAAATGTTACCATGATTTCAGACCATTTTCCCCACAATGGCAATTTCTTTCATATTCTAATTAGATCTTTTCTCAAAAAGTGAGCAAGTATTTTAACATTGAGGCCTCTTTTCTAAAGCACAATATTCAAAAGGATGCTAACCTTGTCCTGATAAAAGTAAAAGGACACTAACAGGTAGCAATTACTGAGGGTTCACTATGTTCCATGCTAGGTTTGTCTACACATTTTCTGTATTAATCCTCCCAACAACCCTAGAAAGTAGGTACAGTCAGCCCTCCATATCTGCAGGTTTTGCATCCATAGATTCAACTAACCAAGGGTTAAAAATATTCAGAAAAAAAATAATGATACAAATTTACAAATATATAGTATAACAACTATTTACATAGCATTGATATTGTGTTGGGTATTATAAGCAATCTAAAGATGATTTAAAGTATACAGGAGGATTGTGTAGGTTATACGCTAATACGATGCCATTTTATATAAGATACTTTAGCAACCTTGGAATTAGCAGGGGATCCTGAATCCAATTCCCCATAGCTACAGCTGTATTATTATTAATTCCATTTTGTAATTAAGGAAACTGAGGCAGGAGTCATAAATAACTTGTAAAAATAACACAGTAAGTGGTAGAGCCAGGATTTGATACAAATATCAGTCTGACTCTACCTACCAACAATATCTAGGTCTTTACAGGATCTAAAGGCAGTAATAACAGGTAAATTAATGGTAATTATAAATGACCTTATAGGGCTGTTGAAAGAATATACATAAAGCACAAAGCAGAGAATCTAAAGGTAGTTTTAATTATCATAAATCCCTCATCAACATGGGAAGAAAACTTGATGACCTTACAAAACATGCCATTCCATTTTCAGACAATATTCATTATTAGAAATGTATTCATATCGATCTTCACCAAAGTTTACCTTTTGGTGCTGGTTTTGCTTTCTGGAACTTCTTAAGTGTTTTTTGAACTTACTTTCTTCAAACTTTCCTAGTAATAAACTGCTTGCTACATATTCTCTTTATAAAACTGAATACCTACACCTTATTCACTCTTTTCTCTTACAACATGGTCATTCTTCTGGGCAAGTCCCTGTAGCCCTGAAAACTGAGGCTCAAATCTGACGACAGTATTTCATGGGCCGCCTGATCATCAAGGAATAGGCTGTTCCTAATAAATACTTTCATATTTTTTGACATCTACCCTTTAGTTACTATCACCTAAGACTGGATAAACACTTCTGGCAGGCCTGACAACTCACTGACTCATTTAGAGCTTGCAGTCAACTTTTTTCACATATACCTATCTGAACGCAAGCAGTGGGAAGTGTTTAATTCAAGTAGAGGAATTTATAAGTTATCCCAACTAAATTTCCTCTTATTAAATGGGCCCACTAATAATATCTTTTGAAGGTCTAGATCTCATCATCCAATGAAGTAGTTGCCCCTGTCAACTTCAAATCATTTGAAATTTGGTAAGCAAGTATCTACCTTCTAAAATATCAACAGAATAGAGTTCATTGGATACTGTTAGAGATCTCATTTTAAGTTGGCACAATCTACTAACTCATCTTATTCCAAAAACATAGTCCAAAAAGAGACAAATAAAATTATCTTTGTTCCCCCAACTGTCCTGGTGAAATCAAAGTACTCACAGGTCCTAAGTAGATCAATCCCGCTATTGTGGTTTCCGGGATCAACAAATTTCTCCATGAACTGCTCAGTTAGTGTGAAACTCACACATTTTGTGACCACATCAAATGACTCTGGAACAAGAACAATTGCCTGTTGTTTTAATTATAAACATTTAACAAAAATCCCTTTCAGTAATTATTCTCTGAAGTAAAAAGTAAAGGACATTTCCAGAGGGGTCAGCAACTTCTCTGGCCCTGACTGACACATAGGTTTCATAGATGTCCAATGGATGCCACTGGTTCTCAGTGGCAAGACATAGACACGAGGAAGAAAAATAAAGTAGAAGCAGTAAAATGAATGGCAGAATAGCTATGTAGAAAGCCTAGAAGGGGAGGGAACAAAGACAGAAATAAATAGGAATGTTGATCTTCTCATCCAACCCTGCTTTACCAACCATATCCCCATCTCAGGGAATGCCAACTCCACCCTTCTAGTTCTTCAGATCAGAAACTTTACAGTAATTCTTGTACATTTACACTCCATCAGGAAATCCGAGGAATTCTTCCTTCAAACTATGTCCAGAATCCAGCTGCTGCTCAGTGCTGCCATTCTCGTGTGAGTCATAACCATCACCTAACCTGAATTACTTCTATAGCCTTCTAACCAGAGTCTTCTAGCTTCCACCTTTGTCTGCTGCCTCTGTTCTCAGCCACGGTGACCAGATCATGGTTCAGCATTGTACTTGGAGTCAACGCCAAAGTTCTCATTATGCCTAGAGTCCTCCAGGATTTGCCCCAGTCCCACTCCCAAAGTAGGTCTTTGACAGCATACACCCAACTTCCCATCTCTCCCTCCATTCCAGCCCAGTGGCTTCCTTACTGGTCCTTGAATATTTCAGGCATGCTCCTACCATAGGGCCTTTGCAGTAGATGTCCTTTCCAACCTAAATGACTTCCTCCCCATTTACCCATATAGCCAAATCTTTCATCTAGTCTTTAACTACATTCTTTACTCAAGTGGTGTCTTCTCAATGAGACCTACCTTAAGTATCCTATTGAAAATCATAACCTATGGCCACCAATATTCCTTTTCCCACATATTTCCAAATCACTTTTGTGTTCTATTTTGCCACAGCACGTGCCATTTTTTAACATACTAAATAATTGTTTATTCTGTTTATACTGTTATATTCTGTTCATTGCCTGTCATCCTTTATTAGAATGCTAGCTCCCCAGGAGTAAGGACTTTGTTCTCTTTCCTGATGTTCTCCCAGCTAAGAGGCCCTGGAACATGGAGGCATGCAATAAATTATTTGTTTAATGAATGACTAAATGGTAACACTCCAATATCAAGTGCTCCTGTACCCTCACAAGTCAAACTGAACATTTTACAATGAATTTTAACCAACTTTCTCTCCTTTCCTTCCAAATTACCTCCTTTTTTTTCCAGATACAGTGACATATTATCATCCTTTTGATATATGGTAACACAAGCCTGTTCTGCTATGATTTGAATACAATGCTTCCCCACTAAGTGGCCAACAGAAGTAGTCATTAACGTTGTTCCTTACAAAGAGTTCTAAGGCTACCATTTTAATAAGTGGAAATTAAAAACTTTAAGTTTTAAATAAGAATGCCTGCAAAATAAACCTGAAAAACTTAGTTTTTTTTTTTTACTTCTGTAATACAAATTTCGTAACCTACAAACTCTGCATCAAGATTGCTGTAAAACAGTCTCATCTACATAGATTTAAATGTAGAGCTGGTCAAATTATATCCCCTAAGATATAGGAGTAAATGATAGATATGTATTATAATACAGCTAACCCATAAAAGGACAATTTGTTGAGTTGATTTTCGATGGTAGTCCTTTTACTAGTTACCAAATATTTTTAAAGTCTTTCGATGTACTTTTCCAACTATTTCTTTATGATGTGTTAGATTAATAAAAAGTGTTTTAATGTGTGAGTAAATAAAAAAAAATTTAATGGCTTTCCCAAGATAAGAAAAGTTCCTCATCCAACCAATATTGATGAGTACCATGGTAATGCAAAGAGGTTGGGGAGAGAAGGCAGTAGAAAGAGAAGATACACATGATTTATTTCTTTAAGGAGAGAGAGAACCAATAAACCTGCTTACATGTAACTGGGCAATCACTAGGTCATTTTGTCTATTATTAACCAGGTAAAGAAGAGAGACGTTAAAATAAGAGAAATACCTGTCCTTTCTGGTGGGCTATACCAATGCATGTTTTTGGGTATGGTGATACACCGTCTCCACAATCCCACTGTGCCATTGTATCGAAAAAGTGCATCATTGTAAGTCTTTTCATCTGCCTCATCACTAATGAATTCATCCCAGATGCTTTTATTCAAATCACTGGAATTTTCTTGAACTGGACTTCGATATTCATACCAGAAGTCTGTGCCAATGGAGGCTGCCATGTAGATGGTGGAAATGAGGCTAAGCACACAAGCAATTACAAATGCTGTAGCAAAACGGTTATCCATTCTGGCATTCAGACTGCTCTGTTTAAAAGTTGAAGAAAGAAGAAAGTTAGTCTTAAAGGACAAATAAGAAAGACTATTTTGAATTATTCCAAATGCACCCTTTACCCAATTCCCCATCCCTTCGTACATATAACCATTAAGAATTTTTTTTTTAGAAAGCAAGCATGTTTTTAATTAAGCTTAAAACAAAACTCATTCTCATAAAAGTACTTATTGAATGCTCACATACCCACGATGCTACGGAGACAGAGGTCTTGTTCTCTAGTCTATCACCTGCATACTAAAACAGACAACACTGAAATGGACATACACATTACAGATACAAACAATAGACATGCCCATGGTCAGCAGTGTTACCGTGCACACATTTTAAATCACAGACTGAATTTTTGCACGAGCTGCAGAGGATTAAGTGTTCTGGGTTTGAGTGTTAAAAAGACACAGGAAAAAGCAGTGGCAATTGGCTTCTCCCAGTTTCCTCTGAAGAGGGAAGCCTCCTAAAACAAAGGTAAGAGTCAGGAGCCATACGGAAAACAGAGTTGAAGATGTTTGTTAACCCCGAGGGAAAGGTTGTTCTAGGTGTATAAAATAGCAAAGAGAACAATAACATATAATAATGCTAGATAGCAATCTCTCCCTAATCCATTAAAGCTAAGCCACGCTTCTTTACGCTGCCAAATGCTTCACTCCTATCTACTCTCCCTATTCCTTATACTTCTGAACCTCCTCAACTGAAACCTTGCTCTCTCCCTAAACCCTAAGTGCAACATATGTCCGCAAAAACTAAATGATCCCTCCGCAGCCAGACAGAAAACTCTCAAAATATCAACACTCCCAAGGCGTGGACAGGGCTCAACGGCAGTAGTAAATGGCCGCGGTAAAATGACTCAAGGCGGATCGCGCTGAGCCAAATACTACACGGCAAGTATACACCGCGACCGCACCAAACACCTTACAAAGGTGCACGAAAACAGACTCGCAAACTGGGGTTGCTGAGTTTGGAAAATTGGAAGTGACTCAGGAAAGGTAAGGGCAATGACAACGATAACTCAAAAAGTTGGATTTGCATTTTGATTTTTTAAAAATCCCCCCTTCATCCTGGTGCTCTCAAATGACCTTAAAGGGTCCCAGCACTGGGAACGGCGGTTCATCGAAGCCGGACGCCTGGAGCGGTCACCTCCCGGGCCTCACAGCGGGGCCGGAGAAGGCCAGGGCTGGGGCGGGGCAGTCGTGTGCGGCCCCCATCCAGAGTCCCCCAGTACCCGACCAGGCCCCGCCCTAGAGGGCTCGGCCCAGGGACAAACCCGCCGCTCGGAACCCGCCCAGTCCCGACCACGCCCGGGAAGGGGGCCCCCTCTTCAAACCGCCGGGAACATCGAACCGCGACGCGACCCCCGCCCAGCGACGCAGGTCCCGCTCACTCACCGCCCATCCTCCTGCTCCGCCAGCTTCACCCTCTAGCTCAGACCACAGCACCCTACTCTCCCCGCGCCTCCTCTGACGCACTTCCCTGCAGAGCCCGCCCCCTCCATAACTCCCGCGCCTCCGCCTCCGCCCCCACTCCGGGCCGGGCCGCGGCCCGGGACCGAGGGGCCTTGTGGGAGTTGTAGGAGGGACAGACTGAAAGCTGTCTGAGGCGGCGATAGGCATCCTGGCGCCGCGCGCGGCGCATTGTGGGAGATGTAGTTCAGCTCCTCAGGGCAAGCCGGTGCGCAGAAGGGAAGTCTAGGCTGTTGGATTCTTGCATTTTAGGGAGGAAGGAACAATGGTCCAGAAAGTAAAGCGGACCGGTTTCCGGTCACGTCTAGTCAATGACCGTGACCTGTATAACTTAGGTCTGACTTTTAGGCCTGTGCTTTCCCTATCACACCACCCTGCCTCTAGATTTAAGTATAAATGAACAAAAATGGGATTCTACTTGTGAAACGTTGACCCATTTTATTTCCCTCTCCCAGAATCCCTCCCATTGGAGCAGAGTCCTTCTCGTTTTACTGCATAAGTTTAGGCTAAGAAGTATGTGACCTGGCAGACAGTATCCATCAAGAATGTAATGACATTATTTGGGTTTCATAAAATGTGTGTTTGTAGCTGCCTATTTTTTATGACAAGTGATACTAGTTTTCTATTGCAGTAATGTTGTTCCTTTTAAATTTTTTTCATTTAATTTTAAAAATATTAAGTTAATAATACTGAGCATACCAGATATGTCAAAAAATGAATAAAAAATTGTGGGTATAGTAGGAAAAAGACTGAAATTTGGGGAACATCACTCAAGTAGATAAGGTCAAGGACAGCATTGGAGATTGCAGATGATGTGTGGCACACAGGACACAATGTTTCTGAGCCCTCAGGTTTAACACAGAAATTCACGGACAGGAAGCAGGTACATCTTAACAATAACATGAGTGGAACTATTAACGTGGCCTGGGACCAGCAAATGGTGGATTTCTCAACGGTAACCTACAGAGAAAACTGACTCGAGGACCAGAGGGGCTCTCAAACCTCCACTCTGTCCCCTAATGCCTTGTAATTTTGCACAGGAGAAAGATGGGAGCTTCAAGTTGATACTAAATTTCTACCACTTTGACAGATTAAAGGCATGGTATGTTTCTCTATCTGTAGTTACATTTCTTTCACCTGAGTGAACCGATATTCATATGCAGTACATAATAAGCTAGTAGCCAAATATATTCTAACATGACTCTGGATTTTTACATACAGCATACAGTCAAAAAAAATTTGTCAGTGGCGGAGGGGCACAGGCAAATTGTCAGTGTGTAGTAAGACGCATAAATGCCTTTATACTCCAGGAAATGTCTTCATCCGTTAGCCTTCATTAGAAATCCCCTACTTTCCGCCCGGCGTGGTGGCTCACGCCTGTAATCTCAGCCCTTTGGGAGGCCGAGGCTGGCAGATCACGAGGTCAGGAGATGGAGACCATCCTGGCTAACACGGTGAAAACCCGTATCTACTAAAAGTACAAAAAAATTAGCCGGGCATGGTGGTGGGCGCCTGCAGTCCCAGCTATTTGGGAGGCTGAGGCAGGAGAATCGCTTGAACCTGGGAGGCGAAGCTTGCAGTGAGCCAACATCGCGCCACTGCACTCCAGCCTGGGCGACAGAGCAAGACTCCGTCTCAACAAAAAAAAAAAAAGAGAAATCCCCTACTTTCGGATTTACCTCTCCACTGAGATCTTGTGGTCAGTAAACCAGGCAAAAGAGAAGTTTAAAGGAGAGTAAAGAAGAAACAACTTCAGTCTACAGATAAAGGAACTAGAGAGAGTAACTGACTTGGTAGCAAACTTGGATATTAGAGTAACTGACTGCCATGGTAGCACACTTGAATATACTCGTTTTGTGACTTTGGAGAATTAACCTTCTTTAAGTCTAGGTTGTCTTTTCTCGAAAATATGGATGTTGACAGTAGCATCTATCCCACATGATCATTGAGAAGATTGAGAAAATACATATACAATGCCCAGCACAGGACCTGAGGCTTAGGAAAGAATCATTAAATTATTAGTGTTTGCAAATATTCGTTGAACGTCTACAATATTTGAGTAAGCTTAGTGAAAACAGCTTTTTTTTGTTTGTTTTGTTTTGTTTTTGTTTTGTTTTGTTTTTGGTTTTGTATTCTAATACAGTTCCAGTCAGTGTGGCTGGTTCATTTCAGCTCCTTCAGTGCCAAAGTAGGAGACAGGGACTGCTTCACTTTCTCTGCCTTCTCTTTGTCACTGGTGACCAGGGTATAAAGATATCTGCCGCATCGAACTTTAAACTTCACATTGTCCTTATTTTTCTTGATCTTGACTGATTTGGCATCCTTTGTCGGGCTGTGAGCAGAAAGTCCTTGATTTCCTCAATTTTCGGAGGCATGGCGAAAAGGCACGCAGGGAGCAGGCGTGGACCTGCTCCCTGCACCCATTCATCGAGCAGCGACCGGGAAAAAAGGACGAAAAAGACAAACAGCTTTTAAAGCTCCTAGATTAACCCTAGAGGCTACCCCTAAATGGAGATAAGCCATTTATAGAGATAGGTGTTTCTGCTCGCTTCAGCAGATTTGAGAAGCTCTGGACTGACCACCAAATGACTAGGAAAGATTTGCCAGGGCTAGTATTTTGGGCATCCTTGTTTAGCCCTGTTCAGTAGATTCCCAGGCCTGGGTTCGTATCATACACAAGTCGTCATGACTCAGGAGGTGGATGTTTCTGGGAAGACCTGCAAAGGAGGATGATACTTGCACCCTTCAAGTCTTCAGAATGCCTAGAAAACACTCAGGATGCATTTCACTGACCAACCTAGTGTAAACCTGGAGGTGTCTACGTGTTTGTGGTTTCGATCACCCTGAGAGAGGACCTGAACGGCCTCTTCACACCCAGTTTCACCAACCACACAACCGTATTTCTGGTTTATCGCTGCATCTTTGGTGTTTCCTAATTTCTATTTATGCTTGTTTGTTGTATGAGTAGGTAAAATAAATCCTTAATTAATTAATGGAGCTAAATTTCTACTTCTGCTTCTTACTCTGCTGTTTGAGAAACGGTAGCTAGCCTCATATTTTCACAAATATGAAAGATGATTTTGTGCAACCATGTGGAGATTATGGAATTTAGGTTTAAAAGCAAAGTTAAATGAGGCATCTAGCTTAACTTGTTAAAGATGGTTCTAGTTTCCACAGGAAGGCATTATAGTTATAGCGCATTTAAAATAAAACCGATAACTGAAAATCTAGATACTCAGATGTTGTAACTTGTTTTTACTATGTACTTATGAAACAACCCTTCACACTAGAATTTCCATCAATACCAAATTCCCCAATACATTTCATATTATTTTATTTTTAATTGCACATTTTTAGGAATTAAAAGTTGTATCTACATTATAAGATATATTTACATTATGTTTTTTCATGTAATTTTTTTCCTGGTTGTTTTCCTTATGAACTTCAGAAAGGAAGAAAATGGGAATATGTACAATTCTGGGTTCCAATCAAAAACCATTTTTAAAAATGTACCTATCTTTGAATTTCCTTGCACCCATTCACTGTAGAACAGTAACAGAATCAAGATCAAGGCAAATAGAAAAATGCATCTAAAATGTCTCCTTTTTTTTTTTAGCAGTTCCAGTAAAGTGCCACATATAGTAAAAAAAAAATTATAAATTTTAGATGTCCATGCTCCTGAAAGACAGTGAATGAGCCATATGTAAATGAGGAGTTTAAGTTTAAATTATCCTTTATTTAAAAATTATCAATGGATCTTTGGTTAATGACCCCTTTATGGACCCCAGGGTCCTCATTAGTAAAACAGTCGTACTAATGATCATTAATATCACTTTACAATTTTACACTCTAAAATTTTACAGTTTATAATTCTACTGGAAGAAGAATAATGCAACTACAAAATATAGTGTTTCATAGATCCACAGCATTAGAGTTTCATTGCAGAATTTATATACCCTATCCCTCAAGCCTAGGCAATGTACTAGAAGCAGAGATAGTGGCAATTGTAGTTTGCCAAGGAAAAGGAGGAAGACTATGTGCATTCTGATTAGAAAAGATACCAATAAAAAGCCCTTGCTATTTCAAACATTAACAGTAATTATGAAGGTAAAATTATGGAAGGAAACTTTTGTGATTTCTTCTAATTGACATTTATTAGTATAGAGTTATGAGTATGAATTGTGGACCTCCCAAATATATCTTTCCAAAAAAATCTTTATTGCAGATAAGAAACTAATGTAATAAATTAATTTAATTATTAATAAACTTGAGTCTTCATTGAGAGAGTCCTCTTCTCATCACTATCCATCATACTTATTATGAGTCCATGGTAGTGATATTTTTCACATTTATTGGTTTGCAAGTTGCTTCTGATTCAACAAGATGTGCTAAGTGAAAACATTAGCATAAGTTGACAAAAAAATATGCTGCATTAACTTAGAAACATCTCTTCATATTAGTTTATGATGTGACAATCCCAGGATCAAATAGAAAATGGAAGTTGTCTAAGAAGTTTGTGAAAAGTCCCTACTCTTTGGAAATAACTCAGAATTCAAGCATGATTCATCCCAGATCTACAATCATTTATTGACCATCTATTGCTTGCCAGACACTCTGGTGGATGCCAAGGACACCAACATAAATAAACACAATTTTTGTTATGTACAACCTAAATTCAGATTAAATCTACTATTATGAAGAAACCTAAAGTATATATTCGTAGAATAGTAACATCATTTCTATCTATATAAGTGTTAGTTACCAAGGGAAATAACCCAGTAAATTAAGTGGGTACCCTCCTAATAGTGAATACATGCCCCTTAATTTGGCATGATGTGATATTAAATTATATAGCACTAAATTCTCCAAGTAACTGAGAATTTAAAAATAAAAATAAACTCCTAGAGTATAAACAGTATTATCAGTTTTCTTAAACTTAACCATTTGACTTTGCACTTGATGGTACTTGTAAGAAATGAACAAGATAATGTACCTAACAAGTGAATATATAATGACACTGTTTGATACGATTAATGAGAAATAATTAGTTGCTTCACGTTCTTTGCCATTTATTCTGGGACATATCAGCAGAGCATGTGTGAGTCAAAGGCTTTGTATCCAGGGATTTCTTTCTTCTGTGCTATACGCATGTAATCTGATGAGTCTCCACCTGATACGGTGGTTGATAGGGAAGAGGCCGAAGTAATAGAATCCTAAGTTCAATAAGCCTAATTGGGGTGGCTCTATTATTAAATCTTCAGCCTGCTGGTGAAGCAGAGGCTGCAAGCCACAGCAAATAATAATGGATCCACTTGAGCAGACGTTTCAGTAGAGAAAACCTTTCTTTGTCTTCATCTTCAACACCTGAACCAGTTCTGAGCATAACTCAGGAACTGGAACATGGAATAAGTAGGGCCTAGAAATCTAAATTAATTCCTCAAATTTTGTGATATTCAGACTGAAAGACTTCCACAAATTTCAAATTTTGAGGTAACTTTTAAGTCTTTTTAAAAAGTTAGTCAAAATAATAACAAAACATAATATATAATGTTGGTTAACTTACGTGAATTAGAACAGTGATTCTAAACTTTAGTGTGTATGAGAATCACCTTGAATGCTTTTTAAATACAAAGTCCTAGACTTCTTCCCCAGTAATTCTGACTGAAGACATCTAGAATAGGGTTTGGCAATCTACAGCTTAGCAGGTGTCCCTGATGACTCTAATCTGGGTAATACTATCTGACATTCACAAATTCAAAACAATGGCTTTTTTAAGAGTCCAAAAAGAACTTTAGTTGGGTAACTTCTGTATGCTGGAGGCCAGTCCAGAGATAACTAATGGATTCTTCCTTCAGGTTGCTCATTATCAGCTGCGGGGTCAGATACAAAGATAATTAACAGTGTGAAATGAGACAAGTACTTTGTAACCAGTATTTTTAAAGTTCTTAGGAAATACAAAGGAAGAAGCAGTTATTTCTGCCAGGAGTCAGGGAGGAAAGTTGAGAGTTATTTTCTGAGAAATGGCATATATGCTCTAATTCAGTTACCAATACTTACATCTTATTCTATTTTTTTTGTTTTTGCCATCACTCTGTTCACACTGACTTTTCATATATTTATGGAACCCAGTGTTGCTTTTGAGTTTTGATCTATGTGTAGGTGTCTATTTTATTGTTAGTATCTTCATGTTTATTTGAAAGAACACTCAAAGTCCTAAAACTGACCGTTGTACCAGCTTATTTACAACCCCACTTTAACCAGCTTTATTGTGGATTCTGTCTTGTACTAGCATTGCACTCTGAGGTACTAAAAGACTGGCACTATGCTATGTGCCTGTTTTTGGCTTAAAACATTTAATTTGTTTTTTGGGTACCAAGATACTGTTGATCGACGGTGGGTATTCTCACACTGTAGCATTCTACCATTAAATACCATACTTCAAAGTGGCCATATATGATAAAGCAAACGATTTTATCTACAACTGCTTCAATAGTTTGCTGAGGAAATCGGATTTGAGATAGTTTACATCGGCAGTCCAGCAACTTTTGAAATTTGAAAAAAAAATGTAAGGGATACACAATGAATGTGCAGCCAAATATTTTCCTCTACAGTATGAGCATGAACTCTTTTTCCATTTTATAATATCTTTAGGTAGAATTCTTGAGACATGTCAAAGGATTAAAAAAAAAGAAGTAGAAAAACCTTAGACCCAGAATCAACCTTATTTTCTCAAATGCCAAAAGAACTTATGGTTCTAGGGTACAACGTTCTAATATTAAAATTTCAGTACACCTAAAGAATATACATGATTAGTACTTTAACACACAGGCACACAGATAAAGATGATGTGTTTAAATATTCTATATTACCCTATTAATCTTTTTCGAGTAAATATTGTCCTACTCCAATTTTTGACAAAATGAATGATTCTATTAAATAATTAAAGCTTACCCAGTGGGAAAGATTTCTGTCCCAGAAATGTCAAAGTGGTTAATTAGTTTCTCTGATCTGTAGTCTATATTTAGTAAAGAATATGCCCTCCATGAAATTAAATGAATTGCGCACAGCAGCCAGGGACACAGGAGAAGGGAGGCTCAGGCCCACAAATCAACTCCAGAGTGACTTCTGGGACCGTCCCAGGTCAGAGGAGCCTTCAACCTTCCCTGACCTCAGCTTACTTGCCTAAGACGCAGGTGACACTGCACCGTATCAGGAGGAAGAGGGAAGGAGGAAGAACAACCAGCGGGATGATTCTTTTTAATATACTAATTACTGAAGAAATAACAATTCAGCAGGGCCAGGCTTGGTGACCCATGCCTGTAATCCCAGCATTTTGGGAAGCCAAGATGGGGAGATCGCTCGAGCTCAGGAGTTCCCGACCAGCATGGGCAACATGGTGAAAACCCATCTCTACAAAAAATGCAAAAATTAGTCCGGCATGGTGGTGCATGCCTGTAGTCTTAGCTACTCAGGAGGTTGAGGTGGGAGGATTGCATGGGCCTGGCAGTGAGCTGTGTTCAAAACACTGAACTCCAGCCTGGGTGACAAAGTGACACCCTAGTGAGACCCTGCCTCAAAAATTAAACAAACAAATGAAAAAACAACTTAAGAAAGGACTTCAAATGTTTAATGACTATATTTTCATCTACAAACATACATTTTTCTATGAATAGCAGTACCAACCTGAAACTAGAATTCTGAAGATTAAATCAGATAGGAGAAGAGGAGAGTGCAAGAGAGCCTTGAGTCACTTTGGCCAGTAAAGAGCTGAAATAAATGGGGTCCGTTTCAAAATGTGTTATATTTTACTATGGTCATCATAATATAAAAGGAAACATATGAGAGGAAAATGTGATAGAATTCTTTCTGTTTTAGCCTTTTCCCCAAGTGTTTTAAATGTACCAAAAAATCTTTCCTTTTATAGTGTCCATGCTGGCACCTCCATTATGATGTCACTTATAGGTCTATCTGTTGCCAGATCAGTAATCAGCAATTCCAAAAGTAATGTTCACTCATGTGTGGAGGTACCAGAAGGCCATGGCTCAGAAGCTAAAAAAAATTACTGCTACAAAGGTGTGGTGTAATGAAGAGAAGATCAGAGGGGATCCAGAGTCTGATGAAGCATATTTGAGGGTTAATAGGAAGAAAATCTCCAAATCAATGATGTTAACTCTTAACAAAAGGGAACTTCACTGGTTGAATTACAATAGCAGATAGGAGGGTAAAAATAGCAATTTGAGATTTTTAAACCTGTGTTTGTAAGTTACATAAATAACAACAATACCTGAAGTTAGACCCCAGTGAATTCATTTCTGCTAGTTATGCTGGATAACAAAAAGAATGTTCTCAATCAAACCTAATAAACTACCATCTCCAAAGCACCAACTATGTGCAAGATGCTATGCTAGTTGTAGTGGAAAATTTTAAATAATAATAATAAGAGCACAAAATGTGGTCCCAGTCTTTGGGGGATTTTTTAAAACTTATGAAACAGAATTGATTACATGTGAAATGAAAGAGCTAAATAGATGGGGAGATTCTCATGCCCTAATTGGAACCATGTTGTTTGACCTAGTTGTAGACTGGTATGATTTGGGAAAATTTTCATTCACTCTTTACACAAATGAAAGACTAGTTTTCTTCCTATTTCACCAACAAAGTAAATAAAAAGAATACATCATCATTGCCTTACAATTCTAAAAGTAGAACAGTATCTTCTATGTGAAACAGAAGGCTAGATCAAAATAAATTTCAGTGTCAAAAGCAAAGGAGGTCTTTAAAGGAAGTGAAAAAATCAAGTTAATTCACTTCTTAATTACTGGCCTTAAAGAAATAAATTGAATATCTTGAAAAAAGAACTCAAAAAGCATCTCAGTTTCACGAGCAAATGCAAATAAAAAAAAAACCACAACCACAACCAACCAACACCAATCAGAGTGGTGCTCCTTGTGGGCCCTTTCTGAGGATTGGCAGAAACTGCATTTTTTAATCTCGGCTTTCATGTTTGTCCAAGATCTTTAAAGGGAGGGGAAAAAATAGAGAAAGAGGCAGGTACTGTATAAAAGAAGCTCCCTTGAGGTTTCTAAAATTTACACAAAAACATCATAGGTGAGGAAACTCACCAGATTTGGCACCTGCTCTTTGGTGATGGACCCAGAAGAAACTTCAGTTTATTTGGATTATTACTATGCTACGAGCCCAAACCCGGACATCAGGGAGACCCACTCCCATGTTCCTTACACCTCTGTCTTCCTTCCAGTCTTTTACACAGCTGTGTTCCTGACTGGAGTGCTGGGGAACCTCGTTCTCATGGGAGCGTTGCATTTCAAACCCGGCAGCCGAAGACTGATCGACATCTTTATCATCAATCTGGCTGCCTCTGACTTCATTTTCCTTGTCACGTTGCCCCTCTGGGTGGATAAAGAAGCATCTTTAGGACTGTGGAGGACGGGCTCCTTCCTGTGCAAAGGGAGCTCCTACATGATCTCCGTCAATATGCACTGCAGTGTCTTCCTGCTCACTTGCATGAGTGTTGACCGCTACCTGGCCATTGTGTGCCCAGTCGTATCCAGGAAATTCAGAAGGACAGACTGTGCATATGTAGTCTGTGCCAGCATCTGGTTTATCTCCTGCCTGCTGGGGTTGCCTACTCTTCTATCCAGGGAGCTCACACTGATTGATGATAAGCCATACTGTGCAGAGAAAAAGGCAACTCCACTTAAACTCATATGGTCCCTGGTGGCCTTAATTTTCACCTTTTTTGTCCCTCTGTTGAGCATTGTGACCTGCTACTGTTGCATTGCAAGGAAGCTGTGTGCCCATTACCAGCAGTCAGGAAAGCACAACAAAAAGCTGAAGAAATCTATAAAGATCATCTTTATCGTCGTGGCAGCCTTTCTTGTCTCCTGGCTGCCCTTCAATACTTTCAAGCTCCTGGCCATTGTCTCTGGGTTGCAGCAAGAACGCTATTTTCCCTCAGCCATGCTTCAGCTTGGTATGGAGGTGAGTGGACCCTTGGCATTTGCCAACAGCTGTGTCAACCCTTTCATTTACTATATCTTCGACAGCTACATCCGCCGGGCTATTGTCCACTGCTTGTGCCCTTGCCTGAAAAACTATGACTTTGGGAGTAGCACCGAGACATCAGATAGTCACCTCACTAAGGCTCTCTCCACCTTCATTCATGCAGAAGATTTTACCAGGAGGAGGAAGAGGTCTGTGTCCCTCTAAAGGGAACTGTGACATTTCAAGCTCTGTTGGTGGGTTTAGGAGTTAATTTTTGTCAGCAACAAAGAAAGAAGTGTTAATGATAGGATTCACGTTGCTTCATAGATGCAAGGAAGAGTTCATTTTTAAGGAGAGGACTGAAAAATCCCTGTGTTGTGGATATAATTAGGCCATGTGCTGTTTTCTCAGCTGAGCAGCCTTCTTCACCCTTGCCAATCAAGTCTACCAGAGAAAATTCAATTCCCATCTGTCCTTGAACTCTTGGATAAAGGCTCCTGCTTGAACCAGTCCCTTTCTTCATGATTGTTAATGCACATTTGGGCCTTTCCTCTCTCAAAAACCACGGTACCTTCATCCCCACCACCCTTCATACTGGGCTCCAAATTGGACTACATTTAAATGATTCTGCCTACTTTCAGAATCATTTAGAATCTGCCTATTTCAGAGGAGAAATGCAGTAACAATGCAGGTAACAAAAATATAATATGCCTGCACTCTGCAATTAATTGTTTCTGAGTTACTAAGCTAGATTCTGACCTCAATCTTGAAGTTTTGTACAGTGATTCTTCGTCATCTTCCAACATTGTGCTTCATCCTATGTCTATTCACAATGGCTTTGGATTGGCAAAAACAACTCATGGGGATTTTGTATTGTGTTTATGATTTGGGACTTTATCATATGGTCTTCTAGTATTTTAACACATAAACATATGACAGGATTCAACCTCTATTTGCTTTATAAGATATTGATAAAAATGTATCTCATTCATAATGGTGCAGCGACTACTTTTTAATGGAGTTTTACTATGCTCTTTCGTTTTCATTGCCTTTATAAATTAGGATTTGACTTTGCTTTAATTACATGTTTTTAATTACCCAGTTATCTGGTTATCAAATGAAAATGTTATTACTAATATAATTGGAACTCATCAAATCCTTAACTCTACCCCAATGCAGATTATCATTTTGTATTTTAATTAAAATGTTAGTGCTACACATTCCCTATAGCATCATTTGCTTGGTGCCTATAATTTCAAGATAAGATCCAGTAATATAGGGAGACAGGCTGCTCTGTATTCAGCCGAAGTAGAACATCTCTAACAAAGATATCACTTGTATTTTACATACATTCTTTCCATACACAGAAACCTTCTTGAATTCCTTTACCCAATAAATAGTTATTGAGTCAATTTGTACCTGTATTACTTTTGAAGACTTTGATGTGAAAAACATGTAATTAGAGTGGCAACCACAAAAGACTCTGCAGCAGCAAGCATGCTACTGTAAACATCTTTTGATTCAAGGGAAAGTGGGTTATGTTTTTACCTCCACTGTTGACTTGAATGAATTACCATTTTACTTCTAAATATTAGATTTGAAAATCAGAAAAAACTTAGAATCCTTTCAAAGACTAGCCAATTTAATTTCATCTCATGTATCTTTCATATTAAGAGAAACCTCAAATATTGGACATCTCCCTGTAGCCTAATTAAAAGCTGAAAATAGAGTTTTTGGTTTTATAAATTGGCAAACTTGTTAATTTTTCTTAAACTGTTATTAAATAAAAGTATAATTTCCTTACATAAGTATTCTGCTGAACTGTATTAATTTCTAACAACATATTAATATTAATCCTAATTCTAATAACCTTTTAGTAAATTATTATGGTTATAGAAAAAAAGACCATGTAAATAATAACAAATTAAATATTCTTGGAAAACTTCAAAACTAAATTCAATGCAATTGAATAGATCTCCAAAAGTTAAACAAAAACAAAATATAGAAGGTAGAAGACACACATTTCTTTAAAACAAATTAGCAAAAACACCGTTACTAATCATGAAAGTTACTGCCTTTGAAAAATACTGCCTTTTAAAAATAGCTGAATCAATCAGCTAAGTTATTGGTTGGGAAAGGAGAAAACCTGTCCTATTAATTTTAGCTTCACCCTTAATGTTATGATACTAATAAGGTCATTTTAATCTTTCATACCTAAATGTAGTGGGTAATATCTATGTCTATAGAATTATCAAGGATACTGTAAAAAGTTACTGTATAAAGTGATTTTACTTCTAAATATTAGATTTGAAAATCAGAAAAAACTTAGAATCCTTTCAAAGACTAGCCAATTTAATTTCATCTCATGTATCTTTCATATTAAGAGAAACATGAAATATTGAACATCTCCTTGTAGCCTAATTAAAAGCTGAAAATAGAGTTTTTGGTTTTATAAATTGGCAAACTTATTAATTATTGATTATTAATTATTGTTATTAATTAATTGATTATTAAGTTATTATTGACTACTCCTTACAAATTTTCAAACTAACATCAAATAATTCTTAATCATTCTCATTTTTAAAATACTGAGATTTTGTTTTATTTCTACTTCTTCACTTTAATTTTGCTGAGAATATTTAAAATAACACCAAAAAATATGTATTATTGGTTTTTTAATACTTTAAATAGATATAATAATTGTAGGCTTTAATAAAATCTTAGTGTATTTTATATTCATAATGTACCAGTTGTGAAAGAAAAAAATAGCTATAATTTTTTAGGTTGTATAACTCTAATAGAAAAAAGTTCAAAGCTTAAGTTTGTACATTATTTTGTTATATATGGATTCTGCTGGTATTAAATGTAATTTACATTTACATTATGTTACAGTATTACATTATATTACAGTATTACATTATATTATAATAGCATTAAAAATATATTACAAATTATTTAGTTGTCTGACATTTTGTATATTTTTAAAACCATAGGCCGGGTGCAGTGGCTCACGCCTGTAATCCTAGCACTTTGGGAGGCCGAGGCAGGTGGATCATGAGGTCAGGAGTTCGAGACCAGCCTGGCCAATATAGTGAAACCCTGTCTCTACTAAAAATACAAAAAATTACCGGACATGGTGGCAGGCGACTGTAACCCCAGCTACTCAGGAGGCTGAGGCAGAAGAATCACTTGAACCCAGGAGGCGGAGGTTGCAGTGAGCCAAGATTGTGCCATTGCACTCCAGCTGGGGTGACAGTGCGAGATTCCATCTCAAAAAAAAAAAACAAAAAACCATAATATTTCTCCATTTTTTATTTGAACAATTTCTATTTCTATACATATTTAGATGTTCTACATATACATACAGATATACATAGAAACACAGACTCATATTTATAACTTTTCGTTATTTTTATTATCTGAATTAAACTAGCCTAAAGGCTAGTTTGTGATAATTTAATGTCATTAAAGAACAAATCAACGCATTGCCAAGAATTTCCAGAAAATTACTCTTTCGTCCTAACACAATCATGCCTTGCCAGTTATATCCAAAGTTAGGAAAACGAAATAAAATTTTTACAATTCAGCGTAACACACAAGGAAATCACTACAGATTAACATTATTTGTTGTCATTTGCATAAGTAGTTCAAAGTTACTGTGAGGATGTAAATGACAAATCTAAAAGTATAGTGATCTCTCCAGCATTTCTCAAACAACTTCTTTAAACTTACCCCAGAAAAGCTCTCCATTAAATCCTAGGTAATGTGTTGTCTGATACTTTACAATTAATTTTAAAAGAAATGTACTCAAGGCAGGCATGGTCGCAAATATTGTCCCAAACACATTTACTCCATTTGGGCTGTATTGAAAGGTTGAAACTAACCTCATATTCCTGGGAGTTTCTTAACCTGTCCACTCTTAACAAGTCAAAATCACTTCTGTGGTGAAAAGCTGTAACAACAGTCTTAAAGGCAAGCTATGTGCGTGACTGAGAATGGACTATTACTAGGGGTCACAAGTTAATTTTTAAATAGATGCAGAAATGCACAGTATGATGATAAGGTGAGTGGAAAAAAATCTTCCTCTGTGATTCATCTTGACTCCTCAAATCACTCTCTATTCTACCTAGCGATCTCAGAAGTGCGAAATGACTTGTCAAATGTGCATGCCACAAAGAATCTATTTTCCTACAGAGCTCATTCATAAAAGCCAGGCAAAACTAAACGAATTACAAATTTGCTTCTAAAACCAGACCACTGGTGTAACCTGCTAGCAAGATAACGGCTCCAGTCCCGTTAGAAAAAGAGGTGCCACAGAAGAAAAAGCAAGAGGATGATTGTAACTACCAAAATATTTGCGAACGGTTACAGACCACTGCAAGTTCCTTTTGTCTTTCACGGAGTTTGATGTGGATTTGATTTTCCCCTACAAATGCTGGTTATTATTTAAAGGTTTTTTTTTGAGCCAACATTCTTTGTTTTTATCAGTTTTAGAAGTAAACGATTATGACTAGACTTTATATATAAGTGTACAGGGAAAAACAACTGTGCCAGTGACTTGATTTTATATTGTAAATGTAAAAAATCCACCCTAGGGTGAGTTACACTCATTGGTTCTTCTTAGCTTTGCCATTTCCTTAATAGAGCTGTATTTCCTAAACATATATGACAAGTGGAAATTGCATCCTACGATAAACCTACAGCATTAAAAACAAAATCCAAAACAAAAAAACCCTACTTTAAATATCCAAAGTATCAAACTAGTCATAAAGGTTCTCATGACAAGGTAAATGGCAGTGAAATGTAAATTTACATAAAATGCTCATTGTTAATCTAAAAGTAGGGGAAAAGTATTCTGCCAGTTGGGCAGACATTATTAAACTAAAACATTTCTGGTTTATGTATATAAGCACCAAATTTCTAAGATCCAAAGGTACTTTCAAGTTACCGTGAAACTTTCTGAGTTAGCTGCATGTGCTTAAAGATCTATGACAAAATATTCACATTATTATTATCATTATCTGCCAACCTAGTAAAGGATGTTCGTCAATTTGATATTATTCAGTGATTTTTCTTATTTGCTAATTAAATATATATAATAATTAACTAGTTTTCTAACACTCTCATGTTAGAGAGAGTTAAACATCATCTATAAGTACCTCATGTTTGTCAACATTGATAGGAAATTTAACATTTTTACTTGCTAGGTCCTATCAATTCTGATT